AAAGATACGCGAACTTGTCACATTCTGATTACTCTGAAGTTAGATACGATACTAGAGACACGATGCTAGAGATAAGCGTGATACAACGTGCATGAACGAGTCTAAACAAATACGAGCATGCTATTCCGGAAATCGTATGTAAACTTGTAGAATAGAATTTTAAGATAAAAATCGGAACCAATATCGGGATAGATCTCAATAGCTAGATAGTTGGAAATATATTTACGATATTTTAAGAATTCAGAATTTTGAAATACAAAAAAAAAATTTATTTATAAAATATAAAATATATATATTACATAACATTGGAACCTAGTCGAAAGTTATATAATATTACAACATGCTATAAGCAGAATGACAATTTTTTAAAATATCATTATAAACGCATATGCGCAAAAATTAATGTATTGTTAATATATAGATCGATTCTGAACTTTTAATAAAAAACGGTGTGTCTATATATTGGGCCACCTCAACCAGTTCATATTTTATTAAAATTTAATGTTTAAAAGCATTTTTACAACAAATGTTTATTTTGTCATATATAAAACATAATCTGTTTTTAGACTTTACTATGGCTTTTATAAAAAATTGGAGGATTCTTCAGTTTGTGATAACAAAAATTCTTTGTACATGATATTGATATTTTTCCTAGTAACACATAGCATATTTTTATAAAAAGAGCACACATTACTATCAACGCAATGCAATTTTTCATCGCTATTAAATAATCAGATATTTGTCATTGTTATCTTTATAAATAAACCGTTACTTCTTTGATTGTTATAATTAAAAGAATTTCTTTCATTTATTTTCGAGATTATTTCACTAATGGCGATTCACTCAGTATTAGCTTAGCTCCGTTTTATTCTATATCGATTGATATACTATTAAATTTATTCTTTTTCCTTCTCTCTTAATTGTTATAAATAGATAAAGCAAAAAACATTTCACTAATGATAATTTTCTCGATATTATTACTTTATGTCCAGTTTGCTGCTCGATTAATATATTATTAGACGTACATCCCTTTTCTTTTATTTTTCTCTCTTAGCTCTTATAATAAAGACGAAAGTGGAAAATATTTCATCAATGATTCAATACCATTATCTTATATCCAGAGCCATCGCGTATCGATTAACACAATATTAAATGAAGAAGAAATAATTAAAAAATAAATAGCATTTAGATAAATTACTCAAATAGCAACAGAAGAAATCATTATCATCGATATTGATAACGAATAACTGAAGCGGAATTCTTATATTTTATTTAATTTTCAAAAAAATTTGCTACTTTTTTCTACTATTTGAGATATTTTAGTAAAGTAGAAATGGAATATTAATTACATTAAAATTATTTCGAATTATGTATATACTTTTCGAATAAAGAGAGAAAGGAAAAATTTAAGTTTTGACTACTGAAAACTCTATGTATCTTCTCGTGAGTAAACTTAGCTGCAAGTATTTTCATGGCTTCCAATACTTCCTCCAACATTCGCATTCGATTTCGCTAATAAACTCGCAAAAAAGGTTATATTTGCAATATCTCATGTCGATTAAATTTCGAAAAAATCGACCGATGAATTTCTGTCTTCAGAAAAAATCAACGGAATTCCCAAAGAAAAGAAAGTAACACTTTAGTTTTCCAATTATTTTTATTTGTATATTCTGCAAGAAGAGTTTATTTTATTTTATTTTATTTTATAAAAAGTTTCTTGCCTTTTTTCTCGCAGGAGCAATTGCGACGAGAAAATCGGCGCAATATTGAGGCAGCATTATCAGAAGCCATATTTCCTTCCCTCCACCGCCGAAAGCGAGAAAACGGATTGGATTTTTATGGGAAGCCATGGCTACGGCGCACCGATGCATGTAGGTTTCATGAAAAATTATGTAACGCTTATTTTATTAGAGAACAATCGTTTAAACTGACATCCTTTAATGAAAGAAGTTGTCTGCTAAAATTATTTATTAATATAGATAATACTTTAAAAAGAATTGATCTATATATTTTTATTTATTCTACATATAATTTCATAAATTTTTTAAGTTTTATATATACATATATAACATATTAGATAATTTTAAAATTTTATATTTTATTTATTTAAATGTCTATACATTAATTTAATCTTTATAATTTTGTAATATTTTTAAGTACATTTGTATTTATCTAGATATGTTTAAATTGTAGACTTGTACATGTCTCAGTATACAAATGATTATTAATCGTATATTCCGAGAATATTTCGAGAATGAAATTTTTCAAGGTGGACGACGTGGAGCATCCCTCCTGGCAGGCGCAGATAAAGGGTGAAAAATTGTGGATTTTGGAGCCGCCGAGAGAATGTCACTACACATGCAAGAGGCTGGAAGTGATTGTGCATCCCGGGGAGATAAGTGAGTGCCATTCGATAAATTACGCTAATAAATAATGATCGAATTAATTGCAAAATTAATTGCTTTCCGCGTTTAGCGCTAAATGTGACCTTCTGATCGACAGTCGCATTCAATGTTGTTCCGAATTGAGACTCGCTCGGCCACATTTAACGCTAAAATACGGGATACGCGGATATTTCGTTTGCGTGATTTTAGATATTGATATACGAATTTTGCTTAACTTGCGTTTTAAATAAACTTATCGATTTATCTTTTTTGTTACATATAAATAAAGGAAACGTTCCTTGCAAAATTTTAGATAATTACTTTTTGATAATTATTTTAATACTTTTATCACAAATTAATCGCATTTTCAAGTTTTTTTGCGTATTCTGATATATCGTGATTTTCAATTACAGTCGTTTTGGATACGAATCGATGGTATCACCAAACGAAAATCGTTTCCGAAGAAATGAGCATTACCATCGGAGCTGAATATGATTAAAGCAAGTAAAGCTCCGAAGCTAATATAATTATATGATATATTCATTTATTATGCAGCAAGAAATTGATAAATAATTTGCTATGAAAATAAGCTCCCGTGTGTAAATGTTGAGAATAATAAAATGTAATGTGTGATAAGAATAAAAGACGCTAAACGTTTAATTATCATTTAAACCATCGAAATATCTTGTGATTAAAAATATGTGCAATAATTTTGCATCAGTATATACGATTAATTAATTTTATCTCGATATATTAATTCAATCTGTGGAATATTTAAAAGATAAGATGAATAAATCTTTTATGTAAATATTCTGGTATACAGAAAACTATGAAATAAAATGTATTATAAAAAGTATAAAAAAAACATGTTTAATATTTTATTGTCAGTATTAAAATATGACTAAAAGACACTTATGACGATTTTACTTTTCATAATTTATTGCGTAATTTTAATTCATTTTTTT